ACCAGAAAACCTTACCCAATGCTCTGGTTTTCAGCACTCACTGGCCATGAAGTGCCACCACAAAAGACCTGCTTCTCCTGTGGGCAGTCAGAGGCCACCAGGGTGAGCAGGGGAGATGTCATAGCTGTAAGTGGAGGATGCAGAAAACATCCCATAAAAAAGTGAAAGGCTCACACAGAGACTCCGAAGCAAGTTCTCAATAGGGTTCACATCCCACAGGGACTAAATCAACTAATCTCACATTGAAAACACATTGTTGTTTTTTTCTCTTCAGGCCCATATACTTGCACTGAATGCAAGCAGTTGGGTTCTGAGATAAAATCATCAGTCATGGGCTTCCTTCAATACAGGTCAGCTCTCATGATTATGACTTTCTGCCTTATTTTCTAACCAGCAGGACTCACTAGCATCAAGCAAGTGACAAGACAAGTTCAAGATCCCCAAAGGCAGCCCTGACGTAGATTTCAATCCACGATGGCACCCGAGATGGTACCAATGTCTCACAGCAGGACACGCTGCCATCAGGACCAGGGTGCAGAGTCCACGCAAGGCACAGCCACACTAGTTCAAAGTACCTTCCACCCCTCGCCCACAAGGACCAATGCAGCCCACTGGCAGCACATCAAGTGCCAACTCAGCCACAGTGGCCAGGAAAGCAGGTGCTGACAGCATCACTGTGGGACGCTGCCTGACCACGGGGAGAGCTGCCCTTCTCCCACAGAGGCAGAGTATGAAAGGGGGAATAGCCACAGCCTCTCAACAGCAATGAGCTACCCATCCATCCTGCCACAAACATTTCCACACACCACCCAGCTGACTCAGTTCCTAGAAAAAAAAAGGAAAAAAATAAATAAAAAAAAACCCTACGGTCTCAAAGGAGACATTTCTCAGATGGCTTCTTCTGGAATATTTTACTGATTTCTTTTTACATTGTTGCTTTTAATTATATTTTTATAATGCAGGGATTTTTCTACAGGGCACCACCTCAAGCCCCTACACGTGCCAATTAACCCCAAAAACAGGCACTGGCACCTGAGGAGCAAGAAGCTGCAGCACATCACCCTGCAGTTTTCAGAGCATCACCCAATGCAGGGGTGCTCCAGGTGACTGGCCTCACAGATCAGGCTGCAGCTTTGCTTCCAGGCCCCAACTACCCACCAGATCCAAAGCTCTATCAAGCATCAAAACTCCAGCAGAATGGAGACAGGTCCTCAAAACTAAAGCAACCTCTGTCACGTAAATCTTCTCACTCTGAAGAAAAGCCTGAGCTATCCTTAACCATTTACCTACTAGAAAATGGGAACCACTGCATTATTTCCTATAAAAGAGAAACTCCATCTGAGGAGAATGCAAAAATTAACAAGCAGTACATTGGGTCTGTCAATAAAAGAGTGCTTTAGAAGAATGTTGTCTGGTTATTTTGATCATTTAACCATGTCAGCTAATATTTTAAAATACGACTTAACTCCAAAGACAGATTTGGATCACTGGTCTGAAAAGATGAAAGGTTACATTTCATTATCAGCCCTCAAATGTCAACCAGCAGCTCTTAAAGAGTACCCAGTACCCTCATGAAATTTTACTTATGTTCATTCTCTTTGATGCAATCTTAATTTTCTTGTAATGCTGTTGAAATTCATTTGAGAAGAGCAAAATCCTAACTGACTCATTTCTCTCACGTAGCTACAAGGAAAGTTTCCTTTATTGGGCAAATGTCCTTCTTGTCTTCTTATGTTTGTGTAGCTACAAAAACAATATAAAGCACTTCACACTAAGTAGATAGCAAGCTGAGGGAAGGTCATTTACTAAGCAAACTTCTCCACCTCTTCTAGCACTTAGGCGGAAGATTAAAGTCATACTATTGGTTTAAAAGCATAAACCTTAAATAATGAGGCTGATATTACATAGATTCATTTTCAAGACAAAAAAAGAGTTAAAATGTAGCCAAAGGCTTAAATTTTAGTTTAACTGCTCTGGACTCTTAGCTCCATCTTATACCTGTATCTCAGAACAGTAATTTACAATAACACTTGTCCAGCTAAGAAGTTCTGGTCCAGTTGCTCAGAAACACCCCACAACTTTCCAAATGTCAAGCTGTGGAAGTTTTGTGGGCATCCATTTATGTGTATAAGCTAGTAGTTAAAAATACACTGAATGTAAGATTTTTGTGTATGCCTTCACAAAACCAGAAGACAAGCAGAATGACTGAAAGGTAGAAGGGAAATGTCTGTAGGTGACGTGGGAATCTGCATGCACTGTAGTAGTCAGTTGGTTAGTCACAGGAATAATCTTCTGGCTGAAGGCGTCCCACATCTCAGTTACAGATGGCAGCTGCTATTCCAGGGCCACACATATCCATGGCACTTATTATTATAATAAGGGGATTGGTTACTATTAATTTCTGACAGAAATTCCTCCTCATAGTTTTACAAATTATACTGAGTCCCTTTCAAAGCTGGACTGTTGTGTAGCACTTCCATACACTGGATAAGAAGACATCTTTCACGCTAAAGCACAAGGGCCAAAAGTCTCTCTTTATAGAAAGGAGCTATTTATAAAACACTCTGTCCTGTCTGTTACTGCTATTTGAACAAAAATGACTACAAGAACATTGTAACTCAGGTTTAAAATCATCTCTACAACCCCAAAAGATCTTTCCCCCCACCCAGTGCCAACAGCCTTCATGCATCCAGTTGACTTTTTTTGACAAATACCTTGTGAAAATGCTGGACAACCTCCTTTCATTCCAGTCCAACTTTAATGTAAGCCCCCGTTTCCCCCACACCCATGTAATCAGCAATGTAATGCAGCAATGCACTTCTAGCAGTAATCAGACAAATAAAAGTCACTCAGAGAAAAAAAACTAGGATGACCTTAAAGGCATGCCAGACAGAATGGTTATTTATACCTCTTAACACCAGGCTTGTACCAGGAGTAAATGAAATCCACTCTACCCATATTTTAAACCAAATCTACACAAGGTTTAACTGAACTGATGATTAGTAGTTCAGTGGAGCTAAGCACAGGAGCAATGTTTCAACCTTTTATTATTCCCACCACCCTGTGCAGGTGTGCAAGGGCACGCACACAAGTTTTAAGGTGCTCCCAAACACTGGTAGATATCACCATACTGCTTGCTTTGCTTTCTGTAAAAATAAAAAAATAAAATCTCAGTAGCAGTCATCCCCCTACTCAGTGCAAATGAGGACCAAAAGAAATGATAACTTTTCACTTCTGTATTTTAAAAGTTTCATCATTTCTCTTTCTGGCATATCACTAAAAGAAACAGGTGTTTTGAAAATGTACAATAAATTCTAAAGTTTAAATCAGAAACAAAGAAACAGGCACATTTTCAGCATTTGGGAAAATGAAGCAAACTTAGTTACAAGCCAGTACACTTTTGCCTCAGCATAACTGAGAGGAGTCCTGAGGAGAAACAGTTGGGGGTGCTGGCTGATGAGAAGCTCAGCGTGACCCAGCAATATCCAGAAAGCCAACAGTATCCTGGGCTGCATCCAAACAAGTTTGACCAGCAGGTCAAGGGGGTGTCCTCTCCCCCATTTACTTGTGAGACCCCACCTGGAGTCCAGAATTCAGCTCTGGGTCCCCCAATATAAGGTAGCTGTGGAGCTGTTGGAGGCCAGAAGAGAGCCCCGAAGATGATCAGAGGGCTGGAGCACCTCTCCTATGGAGACAGGCTGACAGAGCTGGGCTTGTTCAGCCTGAAAAAGGCTCCAGGGAGACTTTAGAGGAGCCTTTCAGTCCCTAGAGGGGGCCTACAAGAAACCTCAAAAGGGGCTTTTCACAAGGGCAAGTGGTGACAGGACAAGAGGGAATGGCTTCAAGCTGAATGAGGGTAGAGTTATGTTAGACATTAGGGAGAAGTTCGTTACTGTGAAGGTGGTGAGGCACTAGAACAAGTTACCCAGAGAAGCTGTGGATGACCCATCCCGGGAAGTGTTCAAGGCCAAGCTGGATGGGGCTTTGAGCAACCTAGTCTAGTGGAAGGTGGCCCTGTCCATGGCAGGAGTTGGAACTAGACGATATTCAAGATAACTTTCAACCCAAATCATTCTATGATTCTTTCCTTGTGTGTTTTCATAGAATCACAGAAAAGCCAACTTATCCCAAACTGAAGTTAAGACAACTAAGTGCAAATAAACTTCACTGGAAGGAAACCTGTAGTACAACTGTCCTCTCAAATTCTGATAAGAAAAAAAAACAAAACAAAACAAAAAAGTTTGCTCAGACTCAGCATCCCGTTTTGTACCACAAACCCAATGCAGCAACGATAACCTCGAACTATAAGACGCTGGCATGAGTTAGACCATCGAAACTGCTTTGGGTATCTCATGGGCACAACCACCAAATAATGGGATCCGAGGCAAATACCCGCTCAGGGAGCAGGCAGGTGCTTCGGATGCTTCTCCGACCACCTGAAACAATGCTCCAGAGCGAAGGCATGATCAAGGCTAGAACTTTTTGGCGGGGTACTCCCCGCGTTGCCGCTCCCCTCTCCCCGCAGCTGGGGAGAGCGACAGACAGCGAAGGGTGCAGCAGGGCTCCGGCCCCACCGCCAGGAAACGGGGCTCCGCCTGCAGCCACCGGGACGGTGCGAAGTGATCCCGGTGTCACAGCCAACGGCCCGGCCGGGATCCGTCAGCCAAACAGCCGGGCGCAGACCCAAGCACTGGCGAGGTACACCGGAGCGGCGCAGGCAGTCCCGGCTCGACCTCCGCACCCGGACGCTCCGGCAACGGCTGGCAAACGGCTACCCATTGCGGGCGTCCCGCGCTGGTCAGCGCAAGCGCCTCCGCCATCCGGAGAGGGGCTGCGGGGACAGCCCAGCCGGGCTGCCTAAGCCGACACCCGCGGACAGCCAGGGCACCACACTGGCGGGCGCCCGTGGAAACTTTCTGTCAGGTCTCACCGGCAGCTGCGAGGCGGGTCGATCCGGCCGGGTGCCGGTGCCTGCGGGCGGGCGCCCCGCGGCCCCTTACCTTGGATCGCTCCTTCACGTAGTACTTGCCGAGCCGGCTGCCGCAGTACATCACCAGGCGGTCTATCAGCGTGAGGAGGAAGTTGATGGCCTCGCAACCCTCCTCCGTGCCGCCGATCCACTTAATCTGGTCGCCGCGGAGGTGCCGCTTGGCCACGCCGCGGCTGGGGCCGGCCAGCTGCCCGTCAGCGAGCTCCCCGTCGCGATGCATTCTCTTCACCCGCTCCAGCACACAGTCCCCCACCACCTCCCCCAGGAAGTTGTCCAGGTAGCAAAAGCCGATGTCGTGCAAGCAGGGCACGACATACTCCAGGGCGATTCTTTCCAGGTCGAGCCTCATGATGTGCCCCAACGGCATGGCGCGGCGGGGACGAGCGGGAGCGCCGCTGCCCTAACGGCGCCCGCGTCGGGAGGCGATGCCCTCTGGGCCGTCGCGGACTCCAGTACGAGCCAGACGGTAACTCCGCAGCGGTGCAGGGCCAGGCGAAGTATGGCGAGAGAAAAGTTTCTCCGCCGCGGCGGGCTGAGCTGCGCCCGTGCCAGCGGTGCTGCCGGAGCCCGAACAGCGTGCGGGAAGCGGAGCCGGCGACCCGCGCCCGCGATACAGCCGGGTCGGCAGATGGCCCCGCGCTGATTAATACGCCAGCTACGTGCGGGATGTGTGCTCGCACCGCCGCACGTGGGTGGAGCCCACCCGCACGGCTCAGCGCGGCAGCGCGCCGCGCGGCACGCACCGCCCTCTCCCCTCCCGCGGCCGGCCAGGACAGCCAATCGGCTGTTCCTGGAGGTGTGGCTATCCTGCGGGAGGGAACTGGCGGTGGGGCTTTACACACGTGCGCTCGGGGGGCGGGGCCTGCTGTCCCGCGAGCCCCGCCTCCCCGGGTGGGCGTGGCCAGCGCCATTGAGGAACTGTCCCTTCGCATGTCGGCCCAGCAGCCAGCCGGGGCACCTGCACCCGCCTCGGTGTCCTGGGCCGGGCTAGGCGGGGTCTGTCAGCGCCCCGGAGCTCTCCCACCGCTTCGCGCTCCGCGGTGGCGGTTTGAGCACCTGGCGGAAGCATTTCGTTAGGCGGCAGGTACCCATCTCCTGGGCCAGCCATGCGCTGCTCTGAGACGTGTGTGTAATAAAGTTATGGTTCCCTGAGTTATTTCCCCCATTGCTGGTACCTCCCGGGCTGTCGGTGACTTCGTGCCGTGACAAACTTCATTCCGCGCTTCCAGGAGAAAACGCGTCTTTGCCTGGCGTTACCGGCTTTCGGTAGCACCGTCCCTGCACCAGCCCGACCACAGAATACAATCCCGCTGCCGCTGTTCAGTCCGTCCCGGACTGAACGGCGTGCGCTCGGCTCAAAATGCTTCACGAAAAGTTAAAGAACTGCCCGGCTCCGCTCACAGCACCCGACACGCCCGGGATTTGCTAAGCAAACAGACAAACCAACCAACCAAGCCTCCACAGCAAAGCCACGTTACGGAGAGACGGTGTCCGCGAGCGAGCAAGGCTGGAAACCCAGCGGGACAGGGCAAGCTTGTCCATGGGGGGACGTGCGCGGAGGAGCCGTGTCGCAGGCTGGGTCGAGCGCCCGGCGGGTCCTAGCACAGCGGCCGGTCACGGCGCGGGAGCTACACGCGTCTCAGCTGGAACCCAGCACACTTCACCCCGTCCAGAATCCACGCTGAGTGTTCTCTCCGTCCAGCCACGAATCCCGCCGGGATTGCACGCAGCCCGTGTTGCTGATGCTGCTTGAGCTGCGAACTGCCGACCCGGACACACACAGGAGCGGGTCACGTATCCCACGTCTGTTCTGCTCAGGCTCTGCAGCGTGTGCCCCCCAGCCCACAACACGAAGCACAGGTGGGGTCCTCCAAAATTACGCCCTGAGAACTCTGTCGAGAGCCAAGCGATCAGATAAATTCATATGCGGTGAGATACAGATTGTCAAAGGACTTTATTCGATTTAGATACATACTTCACATTAAAGTGTGGTTATAATTAATAAGATACAATTCTGAATCTTATTAAACCCTTAAGGCTTATCTAAAGAATCAGTCAGGCATGGTAAACTAAGAGCAGCTGTAATAATCAGCAAGAGATGCAAGATTAGTTCAGCTGCAAAATGTCAATGTTATGAAATTTAGATACATTAGAAAACGTTATAGCTGCATTGTTCTACCGTTCACACATTTTTGTCATGTAAAAGCCCTAAAATCCTTTGAATTTCTTGGTATTTTTCAGCCTTTCTTGTTTACATGTGTGCACACAGCCCTGTGCCAGAATCAAGTATTTGTAGACTCTGAACATTGAGCCTTTTTATCAAATGTAATGCTGCCACTTTGGCAAGTCAAGGGCTGAGAGGGCTATCTTCTGGCTGTAGCTGAAGCTGCTCATTGCAGCTCTATTTTTCTCTTCCTGATAGTCTTTTTGCATCAGGAAAACCCACCTTAGAGAGTTGGAGTTTTGCCTTAGAAAGTCGAGTCCACAGTCCCACTTGCAGCACAGTGTTCACAGAGTTGTGAATGTTTTTATTCCACAAGCATCGATAAGTTGTGCTCTTCAGGAGGGCTTCTTCTGCTACGCAGCAACGCAGGTTTTCTGGTGGACATTGTGCTTGTTTCCTTGAAACACGTCAGTGTTTTTCACACCTAGCATTTGCAGTAGCAGTCAAATGCATTATGTTGCCATGTGAAGACAAAACATCAGGAGAAACAAGCCCCAAGAACAGTGATTTTATCTATTGGTATTTAGTGGTGCTATTTTACTTCAGCTCTTTGCTCCCCCCTGACTTCTGTGGGAAGCATGATGTTGATGAAGGTGCATAGTAGAGACGCTGACTTCTTAGGTTACAAACTCGTTCTGGATAACGATATGGAAAATAATGCTGGGTGCAGTCTGTAAGCATGGAAAAAGAGTTTCTAACCTAAGCAATCACAATGTCTATCACACGCCATCATCACCAAGAAGGGCAAATTCCTGCCTAGCCCACAGGCACTCTGCAAGAGCTCTCTCACTCCCCTTAGGGGTACCAAAGCTGAGTGGAGAGATGCTGGGCTACAACTACTAACTCCCAAATTAAGTCATGAACTTGCCAATGAAAAGGCAAAGTAATCCTTAGTGTATGCTATCTCGCACAAGGACCACCCACAGAAGAAAATAAAGCAGGACCAGATACTGAACCTTCCTGAGCACTTCTTATGCTCAGCTAACCACTCCACAGCTCCCCAAACAAAGTTATCATGTAGCACGTACAATTTGAGTATTGCACAGGTCATGAATAGAAGCATGAAGGTGTGAAATAAGGCAATTCACAATGTCACCAACACCTTTGGACACCCACAAAGTTTGTTTATAGTGCTGTGTATCACAGGCAAGAAAGGCGTCACCACATTTTAATTAAAAATCCTACATCATTCAATTATATATGAGCTATCCCTCTGCCATGTAAAGTTCTATTTATCCTTATACTGTAGAAACTTTTATTTTCCATTCTAAAATTAATTCTATATTTTCTCATTTCCCACTCTAGAATCTCATCTCCAAAACTTTTGAGTCCTGCGTTATCTGCTGCTTACACCTGTCTCCATGGTACATACTGATAGAGTTCAGTAGACTAAACCAGGACATTCTGCTGGCAGAATGATTTTAAGGAGGTTTGGTTTAGAAGATGAGGGTGATTGGTGTCAGTAAAGCCTGCATACTTTACACGCTAAAGCTTTTTTTTTCTTTCTTTTTGACAGCAGTGTTTACAGATGAACTGCTCCACACTTTTTAGGGCAGAGAGTTCTAGATGTTTTGAGTCTTCTTTTCAGTCTTCCATTCAGAAAGCCAGACCCCTTCTGTGCCAAGAACTGAACTGCAAAGGACCTAGTGAGAGAAAGGGAAGAGGAGAAGATTATTCTTTACATCAGTGAGAAACTGAGAAATAGTATTTTTAACACCTCAGAATGTGATTTGTAGAGCTGATGTCTCACAATCTGGTAAGACAATAATTGAAGCCCCGCCTTCAGAAGGAAGTTTTCTGATTATGTGGGTATGGTTATACAACCGCTCTCGCAGAGGGGCAGGCAGTATTTGTAGTGGGTCACATGCCAGCACTAGAACACCTTCCCATGACTGCCTGAAATATCACTAACACACCTGTCCTTCCCACTCCTCTGCAGCAGGGTTCATACCCTCCTCTGCAGGGCTGACAGAAGGGAATGGATGGGTTTGTCTCAGCCACTTCAAAAGCACAAAGTGCAGAGCCTTAAACTCACCTTCACTGATGGCTTAGCTTTACACAGAAGCAGCAGGGGCATCAGCACCTGTGCCTTTCCTGTGTCATCTGTGCAGGTAGCAACTGCTGGCAGAGCAACCATGTTTTGGTGTGGTGTCTCCTCTGACTACAACAGTGAGACTCGCCAGAGCTCCTTTGTCAGCACCCTTAATATTATGTCATACTGAAAGCAGGTGTGAGAGCAAAGGTACGTGTCACGGCTTGAGCTGATCTAGCAACTTGTTCACCGCCTTTTCCCCCACACCCCTCTTTGCACTTGGTTTGGCACACTTTGGACTCCTCCATGGCTGATCCTATCTGCTAAGGTCGCAGAAAAACAACCCTGAGAAAAACAATAAAGAGTCACTGTCTGCCAGGTCAGGGAGTTGAATGTCTTGGGTCAGGTCCATTGAGATCTGCTGGAAGGGTGGGAGCCATCAGGACTGATCCCTTTGGGCAGGGGTGAACGATTGATTTGGTAGCTGAGCCCTCAATGTCTTTCCTCCACTGCCACAGCCATCTGGCCTGTATCGGGGTTCAGAGTTACTTAACATGTGATAAGACTTCAGGGTAGGCTTTGATTCAGCTTAAGATCTACTGAAAAGTGCCTCTTTTGTAGTAGACTGTGAACATGCATTAACTGGTGCACCAGTATCTTCCCAATCCTAGTCTTGAGAAAAAACAACTCTATAAATGTTGTTGGTGCTAGGGAAACTCAGCTAGCATCAGCCACAACTGTTTTCTCAAAGCTTTTCTAAAGCTTTCTAGGTGTAAAATGCCCTCTGGAAAGCAAGCTTTCTAGCTTCCTAATGGGATTAGGTACCCCTGTCTCGTTACAGCAGTCCCCGAGATATGCTGAGACTTAAATTTGCAGTTTTTACTGGCTTGTCCTGCACTTCTTCTGGAGGAATGGATGTTTGTGTCATGCTGTCAGCTGTTTGAAGAGCGTGGGGTGTTCAAAACTGTCCTGTAGGGAGTTAGCAAGTGAGCAGAATGCAAGTGGAGCAAAGTTGCATAGTAAATGCAATTAATGCATGGTCTGACAATATAGCATTTGGCAGTTAATTTCATGGCTATCAACTATCATACTATGAAGAACTTGGATCTAAGTATGGCTCTGAGAAAAAAAAAGCCAACTACTGAGGCTTTCATTATGTAAGCAGAGAAGTTCAATGTGGTAAGTAAACAGTGCAAACAAGGGAAAGCAGTAAACTTTTCTAACGTAGTATTTTTGTAAAAGATTCAAGGATTTTTAAATTAACATCTTTTTAAGAATCTGACTCTACAGACATTCTTATATTTCCATGTTTTAGAGAGGTTTGTGTTACCTTTTGATTTAGAATGCTAAATTAAGAGCTACTTCTAGGGCAAGTATTTACATTTGAAATTAAACAGCAAATTATCAGAAGTAACATTATGATTAGTTTAAAACTGATTTCTTTTTTAAATAGAT